ATTCTTTTATTCACTTTAAGTCTTCAAAATCCAGTATGTATTTTACACTTAAACTGCATCTCAGTTCAGACTAGCCATATTCAAGTGGTTAATGACCATGAGTGGATGGTGGTTACCATATTGAGGAGCACAGCTATAGAAGTTCATTGTTGTTTTTCCAAATATTATTATTCATCTTTATTGGAAGTATCAAGTCTAATCATGGCTAACTAAGAAGCTGGAAATTATCTTAGAGAACTTTTTCAGTTTTAAGACACCCATCATTTATTCTTAGAATTTTAACATATCTTACATGACTTTTTGTTGGCAATAATAACAGTTTGGCTTTTATCCTGTTCCAGAGGCAACTGATTCTAAAGCAAATAGCTAAATTCATCAATTGAGTTTTTTTTAATGAAATCAACCCATGCAACAGTGAGGGGAAAAAAATCACTTATACAAATGTCTTGGTATTATGCATTCAAAATTTGGATAATTAATTTTTAAATTCTTGGGTTTTATTTTTTTAGTTTAATGTAATACATACTCATTTTTAAAAAAATCAAACAACGCCGCAACTACTGAAGCCTGCGCGCCTAGAGCCCGTGCTCTGCAACAAGAGAAGCCACCTCGATGAGAAGCCCGCGCACCGCAACGAAGAGTAGCCCTCACTCGCTGCAACTAGAGAAAGCCCGCGTGCAGCAACAAAGACCCAACGCAGCCAAAAATAAATAAATAAATAGATGTCTTTTTTTTAATTATAAAAAGAAAAGTTATAGGATATGAGTCTAAAGTTATAGATACCAACCTGGGGCAGCAACCAACACAAAAAGCAAATGAAAACAAGGCATCATTTCTTGAAAAGCCACTTGCTTCAGCCCGAGCCTTCACTGACCACTAGGGAGTGGCACCTCTTGGTAAGGAGTCCTCTGGTGAAACATTCTGTCTCTGGGCGCCCAGTATACACCTCCTCGTGGCACAGTTCTTGCTAAGTGATCTGTAAAGTGACACCCTCTTCTCTCAAATGGGCAAAAGCTCCAGTAAGAAGATTTTCTTGAGCAAAGAGAAAAAGTCCCCGATTTTCCCCTATATGCAAAGGCCTCCCAAACCCTGGTAAATCTGGGGTGGCCAGAATTAGTGAGGACTCTTCATTCATTTTCAAAAGGATTCAGTTTTTAAATGACTCCACTAAGACACGTTGTCCTGCCTTGTTCTATGTGTTTATCACTCCAAGATTTGGCATAAGACTGAATGGAGAGTTTACATTAAAAGATCTCTGGGGCCAGCAAATAGGTGACCCACAGGCTAAATAGGACTTGCGGGCCACATTTTTTTTTTTTTTTAAAGTTATCTCTTTATTTATTTATTTTTGGCTGCGCTGGGTCTTCGTTACTTCACACGGGCTTTCTCTAGTTATGTTGAGTGTGGGCTACTCTTTGTTGCCGTGCACGGGCTTCTCATTGCAGTGGCTTCTCGTGTCTCAGAGCACGGGCTCTAGGCTTGCAGGCTCAGTAGTTGTGGCGCATGGGCTTAGTTTCTCCATGGCATGTGGGATCTTCCTGGACCAGGGCTCGAACCCGTGTCCCTTGCATTGGCAGGTGGATTCTTAACCACTGTACCACCAGGGAAGCCCGCGGGCCACATTTTTAAATGCATGAAGAGCCTTCACAATTTGAACTCCAAGAGCATTTGATTGGTCCAGCACCCTACAGTTTACCACAGTTGCTGCGCCTCCTTGTTACACCCCGCAGCTTCTCACATTTACCTGTCTCGGCCCATGAGCATTCATGTTTGCAATCCCAGACTCAGTGGTTCAATCAATTGCTATCTGAATAGGAGTCACATGTTGTTATGGTTACCTAAATAGGATTATGTGATCTCAGGTATGTTCAATGGAAGGATGATGTTAAGAACAAGGGAGATTGTGTTTTGACCAAGCTTTGCCCTGCTCTGGCTTTTTAGAGGGACATTTACAAATGTCTAGGGAATGACTGTATGGGTTTTACTCCAAGCCATATCCCGTGAAGGACGGTGGAAAAGAAAAGTAGCCATATGGGGGACTCTTGAATCAGTGCACTTCTCTCTAGCGCCATTACCCACTATTTAGTTAAACCACTCCAATCTCAGACTCGAGCTACTGGAACAAGCTAACTTCCCAGTCTAGTATCTCCCTCTGTCTTCTCACCACACCCCACACCCGGTTCATTTCAGCATGCTCCCTCCTAAATATTTCCAGATTCGCTAAACGTCTGTCTCACTCCACGCCTGACCACCAGCATCTCCATCCTTGACCGATTACCTCTTCAGCCACCATACTTCTTCCTCTCCAATGCATTTTCCAAGCGGCACACAGCAATCTTTTTTAACACACAAACATTAACGTTGCCTTCCTTTGTCACCTGTGTTCACCCTCACTACCTTGGTCCCCTTCCTGTCCTCAAACATGACCTAGTTCCCACCTACCTCAGAACTTTTGCTCTGGTAATTTTCCATCTGTGGAATACTTTTCTTTGGAGCACAGATCTGACCATAGTTTGTGTCCTTTTTCGATGTGGCATGTCTTACCTCAAATGTCACTTCTTGGAAGTGAAGCCCTTATTGATCACTCTGGCAGAAGCATTCACTTTCTGTCACTTTCTACAGTGTTCTCCTAGTTTTTTCATAGCATTCCTTATCAGTGTCTGAAACGTTGTATCAATTTATTAATAAGTTTGGTATCTGTGTCCTCCACTAGAGTGTCAGTCCTGGACAGGGATTCTAGTTGCTTTGTCCAGCGCTGGATCCTCACTGCCCAGAACAAATATGTACTGACTAGCTCCTGTAACCAAGCAGGACCCCATGAGGCTTTCCCAGAATAGAACCCCACCTGCTTTTGGTCTGTAGAAAAACTTTAAAGGATAAATTTAATCAGAGAAGTGAGAAAATGGGGAAAGAAAGGAACACAGTCAAGCAAGACAAAATAATAATACTTTGGCCATTAAACAAAGTCAAGGACCTTTAGTTCTTCCCCAAGGTCTATAGATGATATTCTAAGCCATGTCCTTTGAGCTGTTCTGCAGATACTGAAACCCACCCCCCAGGTGGAAGAAGTTAATTGTATGCTGCCCACAAGCACGTTGACCCCAGAGCTCTCACCGCAACTAGAGAAAGCCCGTGCACAGCAACGAAGACCCAAAAACAAACAAATAAATGAATTTATTTATTTTTAGAAATTTAAAAAATAAAAAAGCTGTTTACCCTCATATCCTTCTCCTTAGCCCTTCCTGTTTCGTTGTCTGTCTTCTATACAGCAGATTTTTCTCACCTATTGTATGAAGAAATTGTGATGTATATTTTCATGTAATTTGATTTTTGGAATTCTGTCACCTTATGTGGTGAGTTCTTCCAAAATGTAATTTTTTTCCAATTAAAAATATTCATGGAGACAGAAATGTTATTAGGAGTTATTGTTTAGTGGGCATAGAGTTTCAGTTTTGCAAGATAAAAAACGTTCTGGAGACGGTGGTGCTGATGGTTGCCCAACAGCGTGAACATACTTCCTGCCACTGAGCTGTACACTTCAAAATGGTAAATTTTATATGATGTCTATTTTACCACAATTAAAATTTTTTTTTAATTTTCTATTTTTAAAATTTTAATGATTGAAAAACCCTACTAGGGATTTCCCTGGCAGTTCAGTGGTAAAGTCTAGGAGCTTCCACAGGGATTCCAGTTGTCTTGCTCAACGCTGGATCCTCACTGCCCAGAATAAATATGGATTGACTAGCTCCTGCAGGGGGCATGGGTTTGATCCCTGGTCGAGGAATTAAGATCCCGCATGCCGCGCTGCACGCCAAAACAAAACAAAACAAAAACTCTAATTACTTTCCATTATTCTGAAGAGCCAGACCAAAATCTTTCAATTGTTCTGTAGGATCCAGCAGGTTTGGCCCTGCCTATCTCTCCAGCTCCCCAGATACATACATCTCTTTGCTGCAGCCACCCTATCTTGTAAATTTTCAAAGACATCAGACTCCTACCACCTCAGGGCTTTGGTACGTGCTGATTCATCTGCCTGGAGCAGACAGATCCTCGCAAGTAACTCTTTTATCTTGTTGAGCTCTCCGGCCCAATGATCTTATCAGGCAGAACTACTGCATTAAAATCTGCATTTTAATAAGATCCCCAGGTAATTTCCGTGCACACGAAAGTCTGAGAAGCCAGCTCCAGATGACTGATGAGCGCAAACACAGCAAACTGAGTAATCCTTGCATCTCCCAACACTTTTCTAGAGTTTTCCTTCTTAGCTTCTAGTTAAGTTCAGACTGAAAAACTCAAAGCACCAGAGAAGGATGGGAATAAATCCTAGTGTCTGCTGCCACCTTGTGGTGGGAAGTTCAAACCCAGCCAGAATTTGCTCTTCTCCGGGAAATTAGCAAATGTTAAAGGGAGCGGTAGACTCAACTTTCTCAGCCACGTGTGTTGAGAGATCACTACAAAATACGAGATATAATAAGATCGCCCTTGGAAGTGAACTGTGAGAAGGCCAAATAAAAACCTGACAGAGAGAGTATTCATCAGCTCTACTTGAAAAATCTAACAAAAGCTGGGATCATTGGAATTCCTATTGGTTCCGGTTCTACCCTCTTAGGAATTCAAACATGCACACCTGACTGTGATAATCAATTGGTGTGTGATTATTTTATTACCAACCCAAATGGCAGTGGTTAGACAATCAGGTCACCTGTTCTGCCTCTGCCTTGCCCAGAAGTTCACAACAGAAAAGGGAATTTCCCACCGCTCTGTCAAATGCATCACTGGCGACCTCTGTGAAGTGGTAAACAGGGCCTGTCCAACAAATGATGTCTCTAACACCTTAAAGGGAATCAGGAAGCAATTCCAAAAATTTCCTACGTACTTTACTCCAAACAGCCCAGAAGTTAAAAGCGCCTCAGTCACTCACTGCATGATTTTGTTTTGAAGTTTGTGAGCTCAAGAGCTAAAGAAATCCAAAACAGCTACCACAGGTGAAGTTGATAGCAATGGACCATCCCCACCTGTATACACCAGAGCCCTTTAAGGTTGCTTACGGAAGAGTTGGCCGGTACCGAAGATTTCAGCAACCCAGAAAGAGAAATGGCTCATTCAAAAGGAAGGGGATTGAAAGGTAGGAAACTGGGACTCATTTTCTTCTCTCTTGAGTGAGATTCTTTGGATTTTGCATTGACCAGTATTCACCGTGATGATTAGAAAAGGCAGCATCTCTTTTTAAGCGTTGCATTCAGAAATGAAGGCTCTGTATGGATTAGAGGAAGAGGAGACAGCATTTATACACTGGATCAGAGAACCTAGTGCCACAACGGAAGCTTCATTTTGTGATTAGAAAAGTCTTCATTGTAATGGGGAAAACCTTTCCTTTCTACCTGAATTTGAGTTTTAATATTGCATATTATACTAAAATAAGCAGACAGTAAGTTAATATGTCAGTCTCACAATTTTAGACAGCAAATACTATTATTTTGAAAATTCAATAGTGCATTTTTCAAGATGAGTCCATAAGCAATGCTCTTTCTGTTCCCTTTTCCAGCAATTTTGGCTGCTGAAATACATACTAATTGTATTTCACCCAAGTGCATGCTTTTTAATGTAACCTAAAAACTGTCTTATACCTAATTTTTCTTGCCAATGGCAAAACCATGAAGACAAGCATGAAATACTCCAAAAATAATACATTTTAATTTGGAAAGTCAGTGAGATGAATTATTTTCCAATTTTGAGGGCAGGGTGTCTTCTTTCTTACCAGGTTCATGAGCAGTAGCTTAGATAGATAGAAATGAGGTGTTTTCATGAGACCTGAAGCCTCAAAGATCAGACTTCTGAACTTCCACAGGCAAAATGAAATTATGCAGAGATTTCCACTTTCAGTAAGAAACAGGGGTTAAAAGGAGAGGCAGCACAACCAAATAAATTCACAACCAACCAAGATACTTAAAAGCTTAGGAAAGAAAGGATTCTTTTCATAACAGCAATGGCAGCAGTTCTATCCTAGGCTCTGGAGCAAAATTACATTTGTTAATTATGTTATAAATAGACTGGGAATAAGGGTGGAGGGATGGGAATGGGAGAGGCATTCTAGAGATTCAGAAACTGCCTAGGTCGGGGCTTTTTATTTGAGGGGGTGCATGGACAGCCTTGGGGGTTCCTGAACCTCCTGAATTGTATTTCCATGTGTATGTGTGTTTATGGTAGTAGAAACAGATGGCTTTATTAAAAGATTCTCAGAAGGGTCCATAGGAAATCAGTCTTGGCCCGTAAATGACCTTTGGGCAAATTAGAATATGGCACCCCTTCCTCAGGACACTTGACTGCCCTCTGCTGGAAAGTTATTGTATTATAGTAACTATGCTCAACTATAATGAATGTGAATAATACCACCTCGTGAGTGTGTGTGTGTGTGTGTGTGTGTGTGTGTGTACAACTGACATAACTCTACGTCCTTGGTCCCACAAAGGAGGCTGCTAGCCTATGAGGGCTCCCTTGTTTTGACCTCTTAGCTTGCACTCCCTTCTTGCCTTTTAAATTTTTTCCACACAGATCTGTTCCACATGGTAATAAAAGCTATCATTTATTGAATGTATTATCAGGTTCCAAGCACATAAATTATTTTCTTTTATTTGTACATTCTTGAGAACAACATACCTATTTTCAAATGAGAAAACTGAAGCTTATAGATGTTAAATAACATGGCCAAGATCACACAGTTAGGAAGTATGGTGCTGGTTTGAACAAAACCATTTAGCTCCAGTGCTTGGGCTGAACTATTTAGTGGGCTGAACTACTTCTCCTGCATAATGACAGAGAAGCTGAATGATTTAGGTTCAATTGAGAATAGTGTTTTTCTGGAGGTTGGTATTTTGCTACTGGTGGGACTTGACATAGTTTAAGTAGTATATGAAAAATGTTTTTAATAGTTATGAATTTATATCCTCATTAGAAATATGTATTACAAATATAATGTAACATAATATAATATAAAACCTGGGATTTCACCCAGAGAAATGAAGATTTATGCTCACACAAAAACTTGTACACACATGTTTATAGTAGCTTTATTCATAACGGCCCCAAATTGGAAACTACCCAAATGTCTTCCAATGAGTGAATGGTTAGACAAAGTCTGGTACGTCCACATCATGGAATGTTACTCATCAATAAAGAGGAATAGAATATTGATAAACACAACAACCTGGATGAATCTCTGGAGAATTATGCTGAATGAAAAAAGTAAACCCCAAAAGATTTTACAGTTGACTCTTGAACAAAGCAGGGGTTAGGGATGCCAGCCATCTGCACAGTCAAAAATCCATGTATAACCTAGAGTCAGCCCTCCATATCTGCAGTTCCTTGGTGTCTAAGGTTCCACATTCACAGACTCAACTGACCTTGGATCATGTAGTACTTACTATTGAAAAAAATTTGCATGTAAGGAGAACTGCACAGTTCAGACCCATGTTGTTCCAGGGTCAACCATATGCTGTATGATTCCATTTATCGTACCTTCTTGAAAGGACATAGATTATACACATGGAGGACAGCTTAGTGATTGCCAGGGTTTAAGGAAAAGGTAGGGGTCAGTGGGAAGTGGGTGTGGCTATAAAACAAAGGATTCTGGTGGTGATGGAAATGTTCGGTATCTTGACAGTATCAGTGTCAATATCCTGCTTGTGCCAATGTATTTTAGTTTTGCAGGAGTTTGCCATTGGGGGAAACTGGATAAAGAGTACACAGAGAATCTCCCTGTATTATTTATTACAAATGCATGTGAAACTACAATTATCTTGAAATAAAAAGGTTAATTTTTTAAAATGCCTGGGATTTTATGGATATTGTTGCTTTGGAGGAAACTAACAAAAAACAGTTAATTGAGGAAGAATATTAGGTAAATCAGGGTATCATGGAATGGGTGATATTTACCTAGCACAGAGGATAACAACACAGACTTTGGGGTCAGATTGTCTGGGCATAAGTTATTTAATCTTATTTAAACTTTCCAACTTTTAATTTCCTCATTTGTGAAATGGAGAGGACAGTAGGAGGATTAAATTGTGTAATACATATGAAAGAACTTAGATGAGTGTTTAACACATAGAAGTCTATTAAGAAGTGTTAACTATTTACTAAAATATGCAAAAATGGTGAAGATGCTATATGACTATTTGGAATTTTGGAAATAATGCATTTAGAATTATTCTCTCTAAATCAGTATTCTATGTAAATGCAATGTTTATAGGACCTGCATTTGGAGACTATATTCTTAGAGACTATATTCTTTATTGACTACCCTAGCAGACTCTTTCATCTCTCATCACTGTAGCCTGGGAACCACTAAATCCAGCAAAAACTATCTCAAACCATTACTGAAATAAGATCTCCAATTTGCTAATATGAGGTAATATAATTTAACAATCACAAACCAAGGTTAAAATCTGCATTCTATGCTTGGTCAATTAAGTTAATCTCTCTATGTCTCAGTTTACTCATTAGTAAAATGAAGATAATAATATAACCTACCTGCTATGAGGATTAAATGAGATAGTGTCCAGAATGCACTTCTAGAGTTTGGCAACAAAACGCCAAGTGGTTGCTTTGGCTTTATTCTTCTGTGATTTGGGTCTTCAAATTTATTTTTTGCAACTGTATAATTTTTTCACATTTGCAGTGGATTTTAATGATTTAAATGATACCTTTTTTAAAAAACTTTTCAATTTCCTTGATGCAAATTATTTTTCTTTTGTTCAGATGGCATAGAGCTGTATCTCCCAACTTAGTAAAACAAAATGTGTTGGTCCCCAAAGAGGAATCAGCCAATGAGAGTGACATGGAATTTCATGAAAGCCAGCAAAATCAGAAAAGAGATTTGGTCAAGAAAGTGAAGACTTTTTTGGTGAGGATGCTGTCACACAAGTACAGAAGCAAGGCCAGCAAGTGTCAGCAGAGAGGGCTCCACTAACCCTAAGGAAACCCTCCTTTCAAATACGCAGAGCCTTCTTCCTAGAATTGTCAAGGAGCTTCCATCGCCCAAGTTGTTTACCAAACCAAGAATGAGAAAGCTCTCACAGAATGGTAATCAAAGGCAACATATGGTTAAGCGTCAAGGCCAAGAGGAAAAATGAAATTAGGATGGCTTTTCTTGCTACCCCAAGTATGGCATCTCCTGGGAGCTGGTCTGAAATGCAGAAGCTCAGGCCCCACCCAGGTCTACTGAGTCAGAATCTGCATTTTAGAAAGACCCCCAGGTGACTGGTATGTACATGCATTTTGAAAAGCTCTGAATTACATCACCTTTGAGGTCCCTCCCAGTCCAATTAATCAGTGGTTCTCATCAGTCTAAAGCTACTTTTCATTTAAATACAGATGCATACATAGGCATATGTATGTGTATATGCATATACACATACACATATATTAGAAAATCAAACCAAAGTGGGATTTTGTTTTGTTTTGTTTCTGGCAAAAGGAGTGAGGCAGACTTTCAAATGGGTACTTCTAACAGAAGAGGGTGTGGTGAGAATTCTATTTTTTAAATCTATGATTGGTAAGTCAGAAAGGAAGTTTTATTTTGTTGTATCTGCTTCCCATGTACCTTGTGAAGAATCAGCGTTTGAACGGTTAACTTTGTCATTTTTGCAACGCGGTGATGCTGTCTTGGGGGGGCCCTAATGAGTGATGACTAGTGATACTACTACTATTTGCATTCTCCTCTGTAGCTTTTTAAAATTAATAGACCTTATTTTTTAGAGCAGTTTTAGGTTTACTGGAAAATTGGGCAGAAAATACAGAAAGTTAGTTCCCATATACCTCTCTCTCCTTACCCTACCCCCATGGTTTCCTCTGTTATTAACATCTTGCCTTAGCATGGTACATTTGTTACAATTGATGAGCCAATATTAATATATTATTATTAAGTATAGTCCATAGTTTACATTAGGGTTCACTCTTTGCCCTGCACACTTCTATGGGTTTGAAAAACCCACCATGTAATGTGTCTCTCATTATAATATCATACAGAAGAGCTTCACTGCCATGAATATCCTTTGTAGGTTTCTAATACCCTTTATAGCACAGCATCCAGAAACATATAAAGTCCTTATGTATATGTAGGAAATTCAAACATACCTTCAAATTTCACATGGTTATAAGGCTGCAAGCCTAGTGGATACTTTTTCCAGAAAAAAAAAAACCCAAAAAACAAAAATGATGGCTTCCAGCTGACTGATTGCCCTTTCAAACAAACTCTCTCTTCCGGAAAAAGCAGTCACCATTACAAGGATCCAAGCATCTAGCAATTACCTGGTATGGATTGACCTGCCTATTTCTGTTAAAAATAGCAAAGAGGACAGGCTTATATACTGATGGGGCTGGAGTTGGAGAGTCCAGCAGAAAACAGAGGACCAAAATCTTCCCCTCATCCCATGCATTGGCTTATTTTCATCTTAGTTGGAATAACAAATCTCTGCACTAAGATCTTCCCGAGAAACTTGCCCATCCTTCAGGCTTCCACTCAAACATTCTGACCCTCAGCTGTGACCAAAAGACAGTTGCTCCTCCCTGTTGACCCTCATTACACTCTTTTAACAAAAACGTAGTAAGTAATTATTATATGCCAGCCACACTATTAGGGATAGAGTAGCAGATAGAACACACATGGTCCCTACCCTCCTGGAGTTACAGCACAGAGGGACATTCCAGCATTATGCAGATAATTACCTCTGATGCAAAGTAGCAGCAGAAGGCACTGTGGGTACACATCACGGATGCTAATTTAGGGGAGGGGGCTCAGGAAAGGCCTCTCTGAGGAAGGAACAGCTCAGATGAGATCTGAGGGACAAGTAGAGTTAGATAAGGAAAGGGTGGTGAAAACAGTTTCCCAGGAAGAGGGGAGAACACTTTCAGGTTCCAACATCAAGAGAGCGCTGGGCATAATTAAGAAATTAAAGTAATCCAGCCAGGGAGAGGCTGGTGAATAAGGTGGTAAGGGTGTCTGTAAGCCATGTTAAGAAATTTTAACTTTTCCTAAGGGTGATAAGAAACCATCAAATACTTTCGAGCTGGTGATTTATATAATCTGATTGGCATTTTTTTAAAGGTAGCTGAGGCTGCAGGGTAGAGACTGGATCGAAGGAGAGCAAGAAGAGATACAGAAGGAACAATAAACAGGCTCTTACCTTCGTTCAGGCAAGGGATGATAATAGCTTAGACGAGTCGTGGCAGTGGGGATGGTGAGATCAAGGGAGAAATATTCATAGGTAGAAGTTGCAAGATTTGGGGGTGAGCTGGACAGTGGCAGGGGAGAAGGAAGGGTCCCTGGGTTGAGCATCTGCTTTGAAGGTGGAGCCACCAGTCACTGAGATGAGGAACCCCGGCTGCTAGATATGGTTATCAATGGACCTAAAGCAGGTGAGTTGATTTTAGGTGCTGCGCACAGCTTGAAGACGCTGAAACAGAACAAGCTGCAAAACCCTTTTTCCAAATGACCCTGTCGATCCCTTTGACCACAGCAAGGAAAAAGCCTCATTTCCCGCCCTTTTCTGTTTTAGTAAAAAAGAGAGTAACCTCAAGTTTAGTGCCTTCTCCAGGCAATAACATGGTTTTGGTTTTACCATACTAGTCTCAGTGCCTATATTTCTGATATTGGTTTTTGATTTATGATAGTGTTTTAAGTTTTCTTTATAAGTACGTTTATTGTGTTAAGAATTGAATTGATAGAGAAAAATATTAAGGGCTCTAGGGTTCACGGGGCTCCTGGAATGTGGGAAAAACTATTAAGATGGTACGTGAATGACTGAGCTTTGTGCCACTTTGCTGCAGAGTGGATTTAAACTTGGCTTTTGTCAACAGCAAATACTCAAGGGATTGTCTTACACATTAGAGGGTTACTTTTCCGAATTCCACAAGAGTTACAGGGAAAGGCAAGAGAGGTCAAAACTGAAGTCTCAAAGACAGGTAACCACCTTGTTAAGATGGGTCGGTGACCACTGAGGTCATGACCACAAGAAAAGGCAAATGTTCAGGAGAAAGTGTAAGCTTCAGCAAAAGAAATCCATTTTTAATTTTTAACCCCAAAGAAAAAAGCCACTGAGACAGCGTGTGATGCTGGCTTTTCAGGAGACTTTCTAATAGGGAGCATGTGTCTATTACTGTGATCCTTCAAGATTGTCTGTTTTTTTCTTCCCCTTCCCTCCAAGCAACTATACAACTTGATGTTGTAGAAGCAGAGACAGAGGAGATAACCCAAGGAAATACACTCCTCCGAGCCAGGAGAACCACCAAGCAGTTATCTGTGACATCCCTTCCCTCAGGACTGCAGAAGGTAAAATGCTAAAACAAACTCGCCTCTAAAGACTTATCAGTAAGTCAGTGTTTAGGGATGTTGTAAAAACCAAGTTCTCTGCCACTGCAAGTCCCTCATAATAAAGCATTTAAAGCTGCTACTTGTGTGTCTCCTCTCCCAGAATTTAGGGCACAGAATGTAGACTTTCCAGTTCTGATTCCTCTAGTTCTGAGCTCAAACTGTCCAGCTTCTGCTACAATCTGGGCAACAGTGGAGTTTACAGCTTTATATTGACTTTGTCAGCTGTTCAGATATCAAGACTCATTAGTATATTAGCACCTGGCCTATCATGCATACATGTGGAGAGGAATTCTCTAGACCAACCCAATAGAATTTCTGCGAGGATGCGAGTGTACATTTGTCCAAAATAGTAGCCATTAGCACGTGTGGCCTTTTCAGACTTTGGAATGTGGCCAGTGCAACTGAGGAGCTGAATTTTAAAGTTTATTTCATTGTAATTGAAACTAGAATACAAATAGCCATATGTACAGTATAGACAGTACAGCACCAGGTGATCCAGGACTCTCCAACCCAAAGCCTGTACTACCTGTACTTATCAAGCTTTAGCCTAAATTGCCCAGACTATCTTTTTAATAGAACCCTGAAATACTATCATTACTTTAGATATAATAAGCATTTACTTAAAGCTGACTGTGTTCCAGGCCCTGTTCTCAGTGCTTTAAAAATACCAACTCAGTTAATCCTTAACAACAGCCCTATAAGGTAGAGAGCAATAGGTTACTACAGTAAGTAGGATATTATTTTAGGGGTGGCAACGAGAGGTTAAGTAATTGGCCCAGATAATTGGAAGAGCCAGGCTTCAAACAGCAGAAGACCTGGCTCTGGAGTGCTTAGTCCTAATTACTATGCTAGGTACTAACTGTACTGTCCAATATGGTAGCCAATAGCCACGTGTGACTATTTACATTAATTAAAATTAAAGTCCATTCCCTTCGCTGCACTAGCTACCTTTCAAGTGCTCAGTAAACATATATGGCCAGTGTCTGTTGTACTGGACAGCACAGATAAGAATATTTCCATTTTTGTGGAAAGTTCTGTCGAACAGTGCTGCTCTAGAGCGTCACTGCCAGAGTGCACCAATATTAGTTTTGAATTTTACCTCTTTTGTGCTAAGTTTGCACTTACCGTATTCCTATTATGTGCTGGGCAGTTTGGGGAGGCTATAAAGGTGATCCAAGGTCATGGTCCTGTTTGTGTGGAACTTATAGTTTGATAGAGGAGATGGACATTAAACTATGGTACTGTTAGCTCTCAGAATGTTCTCAAAAGTATATTTGAATTAATAGCCCACATTTCAAAATTAGAAAAATTCAAACAGAAATCTGGATTTTCAACTTCCTTTTGGAAAACAGGAGGATTTGGCAACACTGGGCCCACAATTCCTGGGGCAACTGCAGCAGGCGCAGAGGCCTGCCCCCTTTGCAGGAGGGCGTGTTCTCTCCAGTTCACACCAGCCCCAAGTGAGCCTGTTTTGCAAACCCTGCCTGACCCTTCAAGGCATTTGACTTTTTAATAGTGGCATTCAACAAACACAGAAATAACTTATTACCAAGTGCTTAACAGAAAGAAAAAAGCCCCCGAAACACTTGGTTTTACAAGAGAGGAAAAAGAGGGGTCGTACTCTGGACGGACCGGGGAAGATTCTGCCAGTGACACTTGAGCCTGGGCGAGCTGGCAGGGCAGAGAGGAGGTTCCGCAGACTCATTTGTAAACTCAGGCAAAGGGCAAGACCCAGATGTGGTCCCACATCCTACTTTGTGTAGCCCTCACAATAGTCCTGATGCTAATTACTAAGCACAGGGGGAAGGAAGAGTGAACCCAATAAGACTAAAAAGGGCATATTATCCAGGAGCCATGACCTAGGAGTGATTTCCAATAGCACAGGTACTTGTAACCAGCAAGCCAGGGACCAGGGGAAGAGTATCAGGCATGCAGCGAAAAGAACCCAGAGCTTTCTTTTTATGTTTGGAGACATGTCTGTCATGAAAATAAGGAAACCTGCAGAAACGAGACCAAATTAACAACTGGATCCAGTGATAATGAGCTTTCTGGGGCACTGGTCTACAGCAGCCCCACACTCTGTGCTCAGCGGCTGCAGAAGCAATTTCTTCTTCTTCCCCTTACAAATGACCTGCTTTTTTCCTGACACTGTATTTTCTCTTAGAACCAGACAATCTCATTTCTCTGCACCCTATAGATCTCTTCAAAGCGAGCTCTGGGCACAAAGGAGATACCTGGGGGGTGGAGAATAATATGAATACGACCTCCAACTCGACGTTGTTATGTGGCAAATGTTCAGTTTATAAGAGAATGTCCCAAAGGTGAGAATGTTCATTTAAGCACCGTCACAGATATCATGTTGGCACTTCTTAATCTGATGTATTTTTGCATTTTTATGATAGTTCCGTATTCCTCAAAAAAGAGACCACACTTTCCAGCATTTAAAAAAAAGAAACATAGCACGGAAAACATCCTCCGAAAATCAGATTTGACAGTAGGAAAGCTTCAAATGCAGGTAGTGGACAAAGGCTTTTACTTTGGTGTTTCAAAAGCATCAGAGGGCCAGGCTTAACTGAATGCACAGCCCTGCTAGACAGCGCGGATGTGGGATGAAACTAATGATTAGCATGAAGGAACGTTAGTGGGGGGCGTTCAAGAGTGGCTACAGGATTGCTGAGGGCACCGAGAATGGTGCTGTGTGCCTAATAAATATTAAGTGAATTCAGTTAAAATGAAGGCACGCATATGGGCTTCTTTTGAGAAGAAATGAGATCCTCTTTACCACTGGGTGGTAAATGCATGTTTTCAAGCTCTGTTTGCTATGACTTGAATTAGATTAATACTTTGGGACTTGTAAACGTCCAACAATTCCTGAACTTATCTCTCAGGAAAAACAGGCCACCTTTGGGTGTGGACAAGGCTTTCTAACACATGGTTTCATTTCTCTGTATCTGGCTGTCATAGGTGGATGACCTCATAGAAGCAGTGACAGATAAATCCATGAAGCTATTGGCCCAAAGACACGCTGAGCTTCAACAGTGTGAGTTTCTAGGGGATGAAATCCTTCAGTCTTCCAAGCAGTTCCAGAGGATATCCAAGAGAACCATGAGGAAGTATAAATTGAAAAACGTGTGTTTCCCATGTACCTGGTGCTGCTTCTGATTTTGTTTCTGACAGCGCAAAAGTTATGTTCATAGGGGTTCTTATCTTTTGGTACATAATCCTGAATAAGTTTCTCTTAATCAGTGGTGGCAGCGGGGGGGTTAAGGGGGGTGGGGTGGGTGGTAAAAATATTCTGCCCAGCAGTCCTTAAAAAAAGATCCTTTGGGAAAAATTGATTTTTAATTCTGAGTCAATATAAGCAAATTTTTGCTTCATAATTCTTACTAATAATGGAAAATAGAAATATTTATCAGGGCATAGCAGTTCTGCAAAGAAATTTCTCCCATGAAATTTGCCAGATGAAATTAGAGGAAGCACTTAAAAGTATTTTGACACTTTCACTGTGTCTACTATTGAGCTAACTTTAAACTTTCGTTTTTAAAGATGCGAGTTTGTATCAAAATTACAAAAATGTAGCATTATTAAGGTATGATTCATGCAAAATGCCATGTTTCTGAACTAAAATAAATGGATAAGGATAGACCCTAACAAGTATTAGCCATGTAATTCAATATTTAAGACAATTATAAGTGATTCAGACCTGGCTTAAGTTTTTTAAAAAGATCATGAAATCCTTTTTGCAAGACTCTTGAAAATGACCCCTACAGAACAAAACGATAGAGAGAAAACATTTCAACAAAACATTTAACAACCACATTGCTCAAGTATTAAGGACAGAGATCTAGAAAGTTTTGCATATTGATTTACTTTGCATCTTGTAATTACCTCTGATATCCGTGATTCTTAATATCATGGAACCTCTCCCACAATAAGCACACACCACAAACATTCTGTACATAATTTCACAAGTTCACAGCCCTCCTGAGAGCCTATTCATGGACTTCATTTTCAAAAGTGGTAACGATTTCCAGAAATGGACTAATTTTCTCAGGTACATCCTACAAATGTCACCTTCTCACTATCTTCCACTTATTTTGTGAGCAAATCAATGTTACCAGTTAAAAACTACCTAGAATACCAATGAGCACTAACATATCTGGCTTGAAAATATTTCATTAAACATTTTTGGATGTTGCTTCCTATCTTTTAAGTATAAGAAAGGCATTTCAGGGCTTCCCTGGTGGCGCAGTGGTTGAGAGTCCGCCTGATGATGCAGGGGACGCGGGTTCGTGCCCCGGTCCGGGAGGATCCCACATGCCGCGGAGCGGCTGGGCCCGTGAGCCATGGCCGCTGGGCCTGCGCGTCCGGAGCCTGTGCTCCGCAACGGGAGAGGCCACAACAGTGAGAGGCCCGCGTACCGCAAAAAAAAAAAAATAAAGCATTTCAATAAAAACAAATATATAATGAAGTCATCTCCCTTTGTGTGAAGAAATATGAATGAACTGTGAATTAAAATTTAACAGCAACGTAGTTCACTGCCAAAACTTTATATGTCTCAAGAGCACAACCAATTCTGAACACACTAAGATCATGTTGCTACTTCAGTATTCTTGGGAATGGCGAGTGATTGGCGGGTCTACGGTTTAGGATCAGTTTCCATGCTTGTTTCTTGAGCTTCTTCCACCTCTGAGAGCTTTTCATCATCTGCAGAAGGAAACATAAAACTTTAATCAAATTTGCTCAAATTATATGTTTAATGAATACGTGAAAACACTTTTATCCTTTATTAGCGAATATATTTAAACCAAAAACGGCAAAATGGCAGCCTATGACTGTAACTGACCCACACAAGTGGGTTTGGTTTTAAAAGTCTTGTTTTGGTTCTTGTTATTAGTTGAATCAAAATGCAAATTTTATGTGATAGACTTCAGCTAAAAAAAAAAAAATCTAGGTCTTAGGCTTTTTTGCAAACAATCAGAAGATCAGGTTACATAAAAATTGGCTTTAGTCAATACAAAGAGCAAGTCCCCGGGTCCCCAAAGCACCTAGTTCATTGAGAATGCAAATGTGTTTATGCATTGATTATTTCATTCACTTATTGCCTGCCTGGGTCCTGAATTGTTACTTTATAGCAATATACTACAGTAAACCAAGAACAATTCCAAATCTATCATGCTTAAATTTCTCTTAATTTACAAACCACTAGACAGGTATTCAAATCGTACATATTCAGGCTTTTCTGCATATAATCAGAAAGATGAACAACATGAGTACCTTCTAATGTCATCCAGCTACACTCCTGTTCTGAAACTGAAGGTGCACTTTCTTTAAAATGTATATTTTAGAAGACATGCCTCTGATCATTTAAAAATCTTCATAGACATTCATTTTGTGACTCTTGTTACTTACTTTCCAGTGTTTGCTGAAGTTCGTGGATGGTACTAAGAAGAACGTGAAACTGTTTCCTTCTCAATTCTAGCTGTGTTAATAAGAAAAAAAATTAATACACATTGATCTATAAACCTATACAGAACACAAAGGCTAACATATACCACATGCAAATACCTTATCTTCAACACTTTCTTTAATATGTGAAAGATGCTCTAATTCTTTTCCCAGAGCCTCTAGTTCCCTGAAAAAAATAAAATAGTGTTATATTTTGCTAATTGGGGGAAGAGAATTCATAATTAATATCTAACTTTTTAGTTAGTAAATAGTATTTATTTTAAAAATAAAAGATAAGGAGTTATAATACTCCATTATGATGAGACTTTTAAAACTAAGGGTGATTTCTTCTAAATATGCACTAATTTTCATTAAAATTAAGTTTTAGATAACTTTTAAAGTATAGAAAAACTTGATAATAGGATATCAAACCCCAAAAGTTGGTAACTTTTAACATTTTTTCATAATTTTTTCAAGTCTTTTTTTTTTTTTTTTTTGGTAAATTGCAGGTTAACTTGAAATACCCTTTGAACTTTACCCCTAGTCCTCTGAACGAGGCCTTTTTCTCCTCCTCTACTCCCCATTCAGGTAATCACTATATCATTCTAATCCTTTTTTATACATATATTTGTATCTCTAAATAACATACAGTATAAGTATATAATACTTGGGGGGCCCTAACTTTTATAAATGGTTATTATTCTGTATGTATTTCCGAAACTTAGGAATAATTTAAAATTCATTGTATATGTCTTCTGTTTTTCTTTCACTAATTGTTTTTGAGATCTGCGTTTAAAAAGTGTTTATCTAGTTAATTCTTTTTATTGAAGATCGGACTCCTCCTTTTGATGATGTACTCCCACAAAAATGGAATGCATAGACTAGTATGTAAACATTTATGGATAAAGATTAGTTTCTTTCAGAGTAAAACTCTGAACTTACTTTAATGTCTCATGCCTGTCTGGATGACGCTGGATCACTTTTGCCAATGCATCATATTCTGAAAGATATAAAAATGTTTACTAAAATAAGGTTTTTTGAACCTTGTTATCAAACCAAAATGTCTAACATCACAGAGCTCTCCTAATCACTTTCTTAGTACATAAAGAAGTGGAAACACTGAAGGATGGACAGAGTATCGTCAGTTTCTCTTGATTCAATTATAATTTCAAGGATACATGACTTCAAAAGTATTCCAAACAAGGATTTTACCTCCACTCTGTTTTTCCATTTACCCATGCCTGGGCAGAATACAAGAGGCTAGCATAAACGTAAGTGAACTTAAGTCATTATTGATCATCAAGTGAACTGATTCTGAAGAGGATCTTATTCCCTATTTGCCCATCAAATAGAAGATCAGCAAGGGGTATATATCTATATATCTCCTACCATTAATTTCAGATCTTAGACAACAGAAAATTATACTTCTCACTCATTTCAAAGGTAAAGATCTCATAAACTTAGAAATGATTTATAGTTCATGAACTTTGTTTCTGCTCCACTGAGAACTCCAAGATAAGTCATGTGTCTCCTGTTAAGTTTTCCTATGAAATGATATGTGGCACATTTATTTAAAAGTCTCTTTAATCAATAAAAATACTGTAAATTGACATTAATTCTTAAGTAAGTTGGTATATCCTACTCTAAATTGGCCACTGCAACCTGACCACATGCATTTTAGACTGAATTCAAAAAAAACCTTTTAAAAATAAGGAATTAGGGGCTTCCCTGGTGGCACAGTCGTTGAGAGTCCGCCTGCCGATGCAGGGGACATGGGTTCGTGCCCCCGTCCGGGAAGATCCCACATGCCGCGGAGTGGCTGGGCCCGTGAGCCATGGCCGCTGAGCCTGCGCGTCCGGGGCCTGTGCTCCGCAATGGGAGAGGCCACAACAGTGAGAGGCCCGCATACCGCAAAAATAAATAAATAAAAATAAGGAATTAGGAATTAAATATCATCTTAATTAGCTCATTAAAAAGTAAAATTCAAGAGTCATGTACCACAGGGCTTCCCTGGTGGCGCAGTGGTTGAAAATCTGCCTGCCAATGCAGGGGACATGGGTTCGAGCCCTGGTTTGGGAAGATCCCACGTGCCGTGGAGCAACTGGGCCCATGAGCCACAGCTGCTGAGCCTGCGCGTCTGGAAGCCTGTGCTCCGCAGCAGGAGAGGCCGCAATAGTGAGAGGCCCACGCACCGCAATGAAGAGTGGCCCCCGCTTGCCACAACTAGAGAAAGCCCTCGCACAGAAACGAAGACCCAACACAGCCAAAAGAAAAAAGAGTCATGTACCACAATGTTCATTGCAGCTCTATTTACAGTAGCCAGGATATGGAAGCAACCTAAGTGTCCATCGACAGATGAATGGATAAAGAAGATGTGGCACATATGGAATATTACTCAGCCATAAAAAGAAATAAAATTGAGTTATTTGTAGTGAGGTGGATGGCCCTAGAGTAGTAGTGAGGTGTAGTGAGGTGGATGGCCCTAGAGTCTGTCATACAGAGTGAAGTAAGAAAGAGAAAAATACCGTATGCTAGCACATATATATGGAATCTAAAAAAAAAAAGGTTCTGAAAAACCTAGGGTCAGGACAGGAATAAAGAGGCAGACGTAGAGAATGGATTCAAGGACACGGGGAGGGGGAAGGGTAAGCTGGGACGAAGTGAGAGACTGGCATGGACATATATACACTACCAAATGTAAAATACATAGCTAG